ATCAGCTAACCCACCTTAGATGATACTTTTATTTTTATTGGAAAACATGTTTAAACACTTAGCATTTTAAAATATCAGTTTGTATATACTTAATGTATTATATAGTTAATGCATAAATATTGTATAACATTGTATACTTATTTCTATTATTGTGAATATTATTCAAATTTACTTTTTTGTTTTTTTAAAGACTATATATTTAATTAATGTTCTATCAGCATTTGTACCTGCATGCCAGAAGAGGGCAACATATCTCAGTATAGATGATTGTGAGCTACCATGTGGTTTCTAGGAATTGAACTCAGGACCTCTGAAGGAACAGACGGTGTTCTTATCTGCTGAGCCACCTCTCTAGCTCCAAACTTTAGTTTTTATTATAGAGAAGAAAGAGTACTCTTTTGGAATTAAGTGAGCAGGGACCAATGTAATTCCACATAACATCAGAAAATTACCATTTTTTACCTGTATGATATATATTTCACATTGGTGAGAGCAAAACTTCTGATTTCATAGATCTATATAAGACTAAAGAATAAGCTTGTTAAACTCCTGAGTGATGTTTCCCTTCTTTGCACACAGAATAATAACTGTATATCATGATTTTGTTTTCCTTGTCTTCACTATTTCACTTCTCTTTGATTGTTTCCCTTCTTTGCATTTTTAGGTAGGAAAATTAAATTAATGCTTTTTAATTGAAAAGGATTCTTCTCTCATACAATATATTCTGATGACTGTTTTCCCTCCCTCCACTTCTTCCACATCCAGCATACATCTCTTCCCCATATCTACTTCCCCCCTCTGTATCCATTTCAGAAAAGAACAGGCTTCTAAGGACTGCCAAACAAGATACAAAAAAGACAAGGCCAACAGACCTCACAGTGAGGATGATCAAGGAACCCAATAGGGGAAAAAGAGTCTCAAGAGCAGGTGAGAGTGTCAAAGCTACACCTGTTCTTAATGTTAGGAGTCTCACAAAAATACAGAGCTAACAGCCATGACATCACAGCAGAGGACCTGGAGTGGACACATGCACACACAATCCTTGCTGTTTATGTCTTGGAGACATTCCGGGCCATCAAGGGAGTGGGTTCCATCTCATGGATTGGGCTGCAAGTTAAACCAAACATTAGCTCACCACTCAAGCAAGTTTGGGGCCATCACTCCCCCTTTACATCTTGCACGCAGTACAGATTTTAGGTGGAGGAGTTTTTATTCTGGATTTGTGTCCAGGTTTCTTTTTTGGGATCCTGTACAGTACTGTCTCACCCCAAAGAGACTAGAACATAGGGGTGAAATCTTTCAACCTGCACCTGGTCCACCTCTCCACTTTCAGTGCACTGTGTATAAGCTTTCCTCCAGAGTGTGACCCTGCTGTTGTTTTTCAGAGAGCAATGCTCTCTCCTAACATCAGTCTGGGCTTTTAGGCATCCTCATATTCAGTTGTGTGAGAAAATACAATGTTGGCTGTATTTGTTTGCCCTCCAACCAGCAATGGAGGAGTGTTCCCCTTCCCCAACACCTTTGTCAGTGTGAGTGAGCTATCACTTGTCCTGTTAAACTTCACCATTCTGACATGTGTAAAATTAAAGCTCAAAGTAGTTTCCATTTGCATTTCCTTAAAGGCTAAGGATGCTGAACCTGAACAGTGTTTCTCAGCCATCTGAGAGTCTCCTGTTGAGAATTCTATGCTGAGATTTGTTCTCTGTTTTTTATTTTATTTATTTTATTTTTTAATATTAGTTACAGTTTATTAACTTTTTATCCCAGCTGTAGCCTGCTCCCTCATTCCCAATCCCACCCTCTCTCCCTCATTTCCTCCATGTCTTTTTCTAAGGCCACTGATAAGGGAGGTCCTCTTCCCCTTCCATCTCACCTTAGCTTATCAGTTATCTTCAGGACTGGCTGCAATGTCCACCTTTGTGGTCTAGGAAGGCTGCTTCTCCCTGGGGGTGTGGGGTAGATCAAAGAGCCAGCCATTGAGTTCATGTTATAAACAGTCCCTGTTCCCATTACTAGAGAACACACTTGGCTACTAAGCTACCATGGACTCCATCCGAGCAGGGGTTCTAAGTTATATCCATACATGGTCCTTGATTGGCGATACAGTCTCATAAAAGACCCCTGTGCCCAGATATACTTGGTCTTTGTGGAGCTCCTGTCCTCTCCAGGTGATACGAACTCTCTCTTCTTTCATATGATTCCTTGCCCTCAGAGGATCAGACCCACAGTGCAAGTGATGCTCAGCACAGAACTCACTGCCTGGGGAGATGTTTTTCTAAAAAAATAAAATAAAATTTCTTAAGCATAAGAGTAAAAGCTCTGATCTAAGAAGGTCTGTAAGGATGGCAACAATGTCTGATTTAATGCAAACACAGACACGTACAGATAATAATAATCAGAGGTTCCCTCATCCACCCACTCAAAAATCTTATAAAAATTTAGTTAGATAAGAAACCCTCCCTTAAACAAATCCTTAAAAGTCTAAGGTCTTGCCAGCTATGCATGCACAAGCCTTTAATCCAGGCACCTGAAAGGCAGACACAGGCAGTTCTCTGTGAGTTCAGTGTTGGCCTGGTTGACAAAGAGAGTCCAGCACAGACAGGCCTCCATGATGAAACTCAGTCTTAAAAAAACAAAACAAAACAAAACAAAACAGAAAAAAAAAAACAAAAAATAAAATTAAAACAGAAAATCTGCGATGGATTTAGTGGCACAGGGCTTGAATCCCAGCCCTCTGGCAGGAAGAAGCAGGCCAGTGTCAGCAAGTTCAAGGTCAGCCTGGTCTATAGATTTAGTCCAAGACAACCAGGGCTAAAAGAAGAAGCCCTGTCTCAAAATACCAAGTCATGTGTGTGTGTGTGTGTGTGTGTGTGTGTGTGTGTGTGTGTGTGTGTGTATGTATACATACATATATATGTATTAGCTGTATACATACACAGAGAAATTTATTCTGTCAGTTCATTTCATGCAGAGATCCTTCACTAGTGCAGGTTGCCAGTTTTCCCTCAGGATATTTCAGAATGTATTAATATTAATCTTTTTTTTTCATTTTTATTTATTATGTTTTTTTCATGTCCCACCTACAGCCCCTCCCTTATCATTTCTCAATCCCACTGTCTCTCTCTGAGTGTATTAAATTTTTTATAGAGATTAGTTTGTTTTTTGACTTTACATCCAAAGGGTGATCCCTCCTTCCTCTGCTCTCAGTCCACTCTCACCCTTCTTCCTCTCCTCCCAGAAAAATGGAGCCCTACTCTCCCTGCATCACCCCATTGCAGCACATCAAGTCACATCAGGACTGAGAATATCCTCATCCACTAAGGCCAGCCTTGGCACACTTGACAGGTGGAGAGTATCTAAAAGCAGGTAGTAGACTTCATATTAGAAACAGTCCCCTCCACTTACCACTCAACCCACATGACCACACCACCCTTAGTACAGATAAGTTCAAGAGGCCTAGGTCTCGAACATGCATGCTTCTTAGTTGATGTCTCATTTTATGTAAGCCCCCTCCCCCGGATCTGGGTTACTTGTCTCAGTTTGTCTTCTTGTGGCATTCTGTCCTCTTCAGTTTTATTCTCAGCCCATTTTTCATTTTAATACAGAAGGACTAATGAAATTTTTAGTTAGTTGTGTTCCCAGCCATTTTGTGGAAAGTGTATATCAACTGTAGGAATTCTCTGGTAAAATTTCTTGGGTCACCTAGGTATACTACTAAATCATCTGCAAATAGTAATACTTTGAATTCTTCCTTTCCAATTTGTATCTCCTTGATAACCTTCAGTTGTCTTATTGCTTTAGCTAGGACCTAAGGATTACGTTGAAGAGATATGGAGAGGGGAGGCATCCTTGTCCTGTACCTCATATTAGTGGAATTTCTTTAAGTTTCTCTCCAACTGATTTGACGTTGGCTAGCAGCTTGCTTTTTACAGCCTTTATTATGTTATGTGCCTGATTCCTTGTATGCCTGATTTCCCCAAGTCTTTTAACATGAAGGAGTGTTTGATTTTGTCAAAAGCTTTTTCTCATCTAAAGAGATGATCATGTGATCTTGGTCTTTCAGTTTGTTTATATGGTGGATTACATTGATGGATTTTCATATGTTGAACCATCCCTGTATCCCTGAGATTAAGCCAATTTGTTCATCGTGTATATCTTTGATGTGTGCTTGGATTTGTTTTGCGAATATTTTATTGAATATATTTGTGTTACAGATAGTTATTAGCTCTCATGTGGTTGCTGGAAATTTAACCCAGGTCCTCTGGAAGAACAGACAGTATTCTTAACCACTGAGGCATACTTCCATCCCCCATGTTGCCTATTTATGATCAACATTTTAATTGCCAATGTTTTCATCTGTCCTTTTGTAATTGTTCAAATGTACGTTTCATTTTAAAAAGATCATATTAATATTAAAGTTTAAAATGAGGCACTTCAGGTTTCTAGACATTTATGTAGAACTGGAGTGAATGTATAACTCTTTGTAGAAACTTGAGAAAGATCTTTAATTTTTTTATCTTGTTTGATTAATTTTTGCATATTATTCAGGATCTTATTATGTACCCCTGAGTGTCCTGGAACTTATTTCATAGAGCAGGCTACCATTCAGCTCTGTGAGATACACCAGCCTATTTCCTGAGTGATTTTCGAATGAAAGTCATCAGAAAATACACCCAGCCTGCCCATTCTTATAAGAGTCAGGAATTGCTTATACTATTTCTCTCAAGGGGACTCAGTACTGTTGATCTGTGTACTCTGTCTCTTTATCTGTTAATTGACATTTCTCTTGCAAGTCTGTATCCTAGTTAAAGGATAAAAAACACAGAGGTGAACTTCACTATTCAGTTTCCTCCTAAAAAGAGTTAGTTATTACATTAAAATTTGTGTGTCACAAAATAAGTGGAAACAGCAGAATAATTTAAAAATATTGCAAATGAAGTATTCATTTCCAGTATACTAAGTATCATGCTTTCTATTGTACATATGTGTGGATATTTTAGACTGCATTGACCTACAATGATGTGCATGTGAACTTCACTCAAGAAGAGTGGGCTTTGCTGGATCCTTCCCAGAGGAATCTCTACAAAGATGTAATGCTGGATACCTACAGGAACCTCACTGCTATAGGTAGGACAATGAATTTTCTTTACTTTTTAAAATATGGAGAGAACTCTTTATTCATTGTTGAAGTGCTTCTGTAATTTCTCTTGAGGATGAGGAAGAATGAGGTGAATGGTTCTTTGATTGACCATAGATCACGACTTAAATTTTTTTCTTATTTCCAATAATAAATCATACATTTTCTGTTACTGTATTTTAGGCTACAATTGGGAAGGTCATAATATGGAACAGCATTGTCAAAGTTCTAGAAGACATGCAAGGTAATTTGCATTGTAAGCTGATATGAATATTGTTCTGAGAAAATTTTAATATGTTCTGGAAGTGTGAAAGAGAAAGGACAGTGTAAATGAACTGCTTTAAGTGTATTTATTGATGATGACTAAGTTGTTACTAAACCATGTACCCCCATGTTAGGTATTTGATGAGTGTAAGGTACTCCTCTAAGAAAGAATGCAAGGAAATCATACCTTATGCAATATCAATGTTTGAATCATACCCTCATTAGCATTATGAGGTAAAACAGTAATTTGATTAGTCTACAAGTCAGATATTGCCAAAGGTATTCACAGTAAATAGGTGATGAAAGTATATCCAAAACATTGTACTAATCAACTAGTCGATAGTAAAATGGGGTTACTCATATACTTGTAGTAATGTTGCTAAGTTTTGTGAGAAAGGCAGTTTTTTATAGTCAAGAACGTTGTGGAAAAACCATAATCCCTATAGCACATGTCTGTGATGAACAAAAATCAAATGTGTGAATGCATTGTGAAACCATGTCATTTAGTATTCTTCTTTTAATAGGTATATCATATATCAAAATGAATACAAGTCATATTACTAAAGGTACATTAAAAGAAACAATGTATCACCCAGAAAAACTAAAAGGTATAGTAGTCCCTGTTTTGAGTAGATGTTTAAAAGGTGATACCTATTATGCTTTATATGGACTATTTAGAGCTGCTAGCAGTACAAAAAACGACACAGAGGCTTTTTAATATTTTAAAGCATAGGTAGTTTCACTGGGCAGATTCTGAACCTTTTTTACCCCTAATACACATAAACCAAGTACAGTGTCTCAATGTATGGCCAGCTTTACCTCTTTGTTCATGTTCATATCCATCTGTTAACCTCACTGGCCTGCTGGGAAATTGCCTGTCATTTGCTTACTTCTTTCCAGCTACTCTCTCTCACCCAGAAGTTCTGCCCTTCATTTTGTGCCCTTCATTTTGTTAGCTCTTTATTACTTACAATAGATAAGTAAGGAAGGACAAATGTTTACAAAATATAGGACAGGTGATTGGCCATAGAACTAACAGTACTATGATCTCATCAGCAGTTAGCCCTCTGCTGGCTCAGCAATCACATTTTCACAAAATATACACCAACATCAATTAACTGGTTATTCAACTTCATTAGAAATTCTCACAAAATCACACTACAGAAAATACAAATTTTATGAAGATAAAAATTATCGTTTGTCACAGTTATCTTTACATATTTAGTATGGAACATTGTATAGGGAAATTTATTAATCCAGTAAATGTGTTAAAGCTCTCAGGTCTTGCAGTTTTCTATGAATCTGTGGTAAAACATATTATAGAAGAAAGTATAGTATAAATGTGAGCCAGTTAACAAATATTTTTACCATCACAGGTATTTTTAAATATTTAAAACAAACGTAGTGAAGGAGAACACTGGGAATGTAAAAATAATGATGAAAACTCAAGATGTAATCCTCTTTACCTTTACACCAAATTGTAAAATTAAGTGACATGGACAAAAATATTCATTAGTGTGATGTATGTAGTAAAGCTTTCACATGTGTCAATTATCTTTGCAGGTATGAAAACAATACTCAATATGATGAAGTATTTGCATATCACAGTAGTCCCCACACATATAAAAGCATGCATACTGGTGAGGATTACTATGAATGTAACGAATATGGTAACGCCTTTGCACATAACAGTCATCTCCTAAGACATAAAAGGACACATATAGAAGAGAAACCGCATGAATGTAACCGATGTGGCAAAGCCTTTGCACGTAACAGTCATCTCCTAATACATGAAAGAACTCACACTGGAGAGAAACCTTATGAATGTAACCAATGTGGTAAAGCCTTTGTATGTAACAGTAATCTCCTAAAACATGAAAGAACTCACACTGGAGAGAAACCTTATGGATGTAACCAATGTGGTAAAGCCTTCGCACAGAACAGTCAACTCCTAAGACATGAAAGAACTCACACTGGAGAGAAACCTTATGAATGTAACCAATGTGGTAAAGCCTTTGCATGTAAGAGTAGTCTCCAAGTACATGAAAGAACTCACACTGGAGAGAAACCTTACAAATGTAACCAATGTGGTAAAGCCTTTGCGTGTAACAGTAATTTCCTAAATCATGAAAGAACTCACAATGGTGAGAAACCTTATGAATGTAACCAATGTGGTAAAACCTTTGCATGTAACCGTAATCTCATAATACATGCAAGAACTCACACTGGAGAGAAACCTTATGAATGTAACATATGTGTTAAAGCCTTTGCACAGAACAGTCATCTCCTCCTACATAAAAGAATTCACACTGGAGAGAAACCTTATGAATGTAAACAATGTGGTAAAGCCTTTGCATGTAACAGTAATCTCCTAAAACATGAAAGAACTCACAATGGACAGAAACCTTATGAATATAACCAATGTGGTAAAGCCTTTGTAGATAACAGTGTTCTCCAAGACATAAAAATCTTTGTTGCAAAAAATTCTTATGAATATAACTGATGTCATGAAGTCTTTTCATGTAATACTTATCTTGAACAAGAACATTTATTGGAATGAAACGCTATGAATATAACCAATGTGTCAAAAACTTTGCATGCCATAATAATCTTCATGTACATAGAAGAAGCACAATGGATAGAAACTTTATCAATGTAACCAATGTGATAAAGCACTTTGACATAATAGTAATATCCTATGACATAAATAACGCATACTAGAGATAAACCTTATGAATGTAACTAAGGGGGTAAAGCCATTGCATGCAACAATAGTCTCCTAATACAAAAAAGAACTTACACTGGAGACAACTCTTATGGATGTAATCAACATGTTAAAGCCTTTGCATATAACAGTCATCTCCTAATACATAAAAGAGCTCACACTTGAGAGAAACCTTATTAATGTAATCTATGTGGTAAAGCCTTTTCATGTAACAGTCATCTCCTAATACAAATTTACTCTTCACAATCTTCAACGTCATGGAAGAATTCACACTGTAATGAAAGACTATGAATCTATTTACATGGTGAAGCTACTCCACATTTGTATAATCTTCGTCATGAAAGAATACAGAGAGAAAATTTATAAATGTGTTAAAATGGGAGACCTTTGCACATATCTATATTCAACATCATCATAAAAGTTTCAAAGTGGAGAGCAAAATCTGAGAATATAATCAATATGGTAAGGCTTTTGTGTTCTTCTGTCCACTGAATCCAAAACAACTCAAACAGGTCAATACAGATGAAAAAAAAATATTGTCATCCAGTTTGATTAGGGACACATAATGTTGAACTATGATGCCTACCCATCCAATGAGTCAGAATATTACAGAGGTCCTGAGCTTGAAAATCATAAACATCTTTACTGTTTTACAACTGAATTATTTCCATCAGTCATGGTTTAGGAATATGGGATTTGTTTATGTCTTTGAGGAAGTCACCTGATGCAAAATGTAGGTTTAATAGTCAAAACAATCATATCGATTTGTTCTTTTGTGGTTAGGAAATTTATTGTGTTTTAGGAAAGAGAATCTGTGGTTTGGGTCAGTCATTGTGTTAGGGGACCAGAAATCATGGTATGGAACAGTCATGTTTTGGGCAACAAAAGTTAAGTAATTAAAGCTGGTCAGGTATTGGGAAGTCTACAGCTTTCCTAGGGACTATGAACTTAAACTTATGTTTACCCTATAATTCAATGAAGGCTGGTAACTAAAAGGAAATGCTTAGGACAAATTGCTTTTGCACCTTCCCAAATACAATTTGCTTTTACGTATTTTGCATATCAAAGTCATCGTCAACTATACAAATGAGCAGATAGTAGAGAGAAACTTTACACATGTATTCAATGTGACAGAGGTTTTTCTTAATACAGTTATCTCCAAATACAGAAAAGAACACATACTGCAGTGAAATCCTCTGAACAAGCAATGTGGTAAATCCTTTTCACGGGGTTGTCTTTGAAATCATGAGAAAAAGTCATGCTGCAGAGAAACCCCATGAATGTAGTCAGTATGGTAAATTTTCTGCTTCATGGTACCATTATATAAGAGTAAAAGCTTTAGTGTGTGGGCTACGTCCTAAAGCCTTTGCATATCACAGTAGTCTTTGAGAACCTAAAAGAACTCATTCGGAAGAACATCTATTAGAATAAAAAATTTGTTAATATCTTTGACCCACCAGCTTGCATTCAATTATACTAGATTATTTTCGAGGAAAATTCTAACAAGTGTCAACAGTGTTTGCATGCATTTATGACATCATCCTTATTTTGTTTCCAATTGGAATCTCATAAGGACCAAAGGCACATGAATTTGAACAATAAGATAATCCTTTTTTATTTCACAATTCACTCCAATTACATAAAATAAATCATCCAGTTGTAAAATTTATGTGTGCATATTAGTGCATTTTCCGTGACCAAACACAATGTCCAAGGCAACTTGCAAATGTTTTTACTTTGCCTTATGACCTGAGAGGATATGGGATCACTATAAATTTGGCAAGACAAGTGTCATAGTGGCAGCTAAAGTAGGAAGCTTGGAGCTCACAACCACCACCTGCAGCATGAAGCAGAGAGTGGGGACTACAGATGGTATGCAGCTGAAAATTATGAAGGCCACCCCAAGTAACATAATTTCTCCAGCAGGGATACATTTCTTAAACATTCTCAAATGATACCACCATCTGAGGATCATTTCTCTGACTTCAAACCTACATGTTTGATTTCTGTTACATGAAAGAATTCATGATGAAGACATTTGTAGATAGGCCTGTAGTTGTCTCAACACCTGAGTTCAGTAATGAATGCTTATACAAGTAAAACATTCATGAGTAAACATATATTTAAGAATTTGTTTTAATTTCCCTTAAGTGATAACAGTTTTACTTTGTGTGTTTATGTGCCTGTCCATTCTAGTTTCCAAGTAGACTAGACCCACTGATTTTCTCATACCAGGAATTATAGAAAGTTGTCAAAAACCTGACCTAGGTCCTGGGAATGAACTTGTCTTAACTGCAAAACCATGTATCTAGTACTGTAAATATCTTAAATCTTAATATATCATCTTGATGTCAGGAAGTAGAAAAGCATTCATAGAAGAGAGCAGTCTTATTTATGCAAAAGAGTTTATTACTTTGGACATAATAAATGTATTCATTTACAAGAAAGAAACTATTTTTAATCTGTTTTTATCATAGCCATGGAGGAAGTAATTGTTTACCATGTTCACTTCATTGTAATGGAGGAGATCACCACTTGTGGTTGTGGTCTGAATTTTGAAACATTGGCGTACGTATTGAATTTGCTGTGTGTGTAGCAAATCCATACACAGAAGTTTATTAGGTTGTTCTGATATTCCTTCTGGGGTGGCTGTTCATGTTCTAATGTATTTCCACTTGGTTATAGGTATTTTTCTGCTGCAATGTATAGAATTTGATCCCCATCATCTATCTGGTCCATTGCTTATGTATATAAAGCAGTATGAGATCATAATTTTCAAGGGAGGGTCTCTGAGAACATGTACTTTTTTATGTTTTCACAAATTCATTTAGGATGTTTGTTTTTAAGCTTTGCTTGGATATCAATAATTAATTAATGCTTAATAGTATGTGTGTGTATATGTATGTATGTATGTACGTATTGTTTGCAGTTTTATACTCCTACATGTTCCCATATTTACCGTATGGCACATCATCTTGAAGTAATTCCTTCTTATAGATTTATCTAGAGGTGATAGTTAATGTAACAGCAATGAGATTTATTGCAAAATACCATGTTGTGTGAGTAATAAAATATTCATTCTTAGGCTATTACAGATATATGAAGAATATGATACTTTTGGGGTCTATTTTGGTTGTGTTTATATGATCTTCAAGTTTATGTTGTCTTTTTTGCATACCACAAACACTCCCCACTGAGCTCATTGAGACTCATAAAACTTACTTGAAAAATTACATCAGTACAATATTGTCTTCTATTTCAATTATGAATATATTGTCATCTGAGGATGGAAGAAAATGAAATTATTTGAATAATTAATGCTACTTGCAAATGAAAATTATACACTACTGTCTTGTTTTAGAATGTGTTAGTTCTTTCTTAGGAGTAAAGACTTGTTAATAAGACTTTCTCCTTACTTTGGAAAACTACTTGGTTACTGAGCTACCATGGGCCACATCCGAGCAGAAGTTTTAGGTTATATCCATAGATGGTCCTTGGTTGAGTGTCAGTCTCAGAAAAGACCCTGTGCCCGGATATATTTGGTCCTTGTAGAGCTCCTATCTTTTCCATATCATACTAACTCCCCTTCTTTCATATGATGCCCTCCACTCTGCTGAGGGTTTGGTTATGAGTCTTAGTGTCTGCTTTGAAACACTGCTAGTTAGATTCTTTCAGATGCCTTTTGCGGTAGACTCCTGTCATATGTTCAATGCATATCCCATTTGTCTTTCTAAATGAGGATTGATCGGTCCGTGTCCACTTTCTTGATTATCTTCTTTAGGTGTGTAGATTTCATTATGTTTATCATATCTTGTAGGTCTATATAAGCGATCTTTCTAACAGGATCTCAAGGCCAGGCTCTTTGACCTACCCCTCCAGGGGAGGAGCAGTCCTGTTAGGCCACAGAGGAGGACGTTGAAGCCAGCCCTGAAGATACCTGATAAAACAGGGTGAAATGAAAGGGGAGGAGGTCCTCCCCTATCAGTGGATGTGGAAAATGGCAGGGAAGAGACCAGGGCGAGAGTGTGGGGTTGGGGAGGGAATGAGGGAGCGGGATACAGCTGGGACACAGAGTTTACAAAATGTAACTCAAGAAAAATAAATTTTAAAAAAGAGATTAAAAAATATTAATAATTTTCTGAATCAAAATACATTGATGAGTAAACAAAAAAAAAAGAATTTCTCAGAACTGCAAATGAATGTAAGAGAATTGTCTCAGTGGGTAAATTTAGTTATTGCTAAGCCTGATGATTTGAGCTCAATCCCTGAGTAGTCCATATCACTGCTACAGATTTTTCTAATGTTTCTATAGTTGGGCTGCTGTATATACAAACTCACACACCAGGAAATACGTAAATAATTTTCAGCCTAATAAGAGCCAGTGTGGTCACTGGCCAAAAGACTCTTTGTGTTCCATGTCAAGAACTTACATATGGGATGTACATAATAGCAATAAGTTGTACTCTCATTAGCATGTATACACAATAACATTATTTACACACACATTCCAGCATTTAATTTTTTTAATTTTATTTTTATTGATTACAGTTTATTCACTTTGTATCCATACTATAGACCCCTTCTTCTCCCCTCCCAATCTCCCTCTTCTCCTATGCTTCTCCCCCAGTCCACTGATAGAGGAGGTACTTCTCTCCTTCCATCTAAACATAGTCTATCAGGTTTCATGGGGACTGTCTTCATTGTCTTCCTCTGTGGACTGGTAAGGCTGTTCCCCATGCAGGCAGAGGTGATCAAAGAGCCAGGCCCTGAGTTCATGTCAGAGACAGTCCTTGTTCCCATTACTAGGGTACCCTCTTGGACACTAAGCTGCAATTGGATAAATCTGTCAGGTACGACATTATCTCCATTTGTAGTCCTTGTTTGGATTGTGAGTCTCCAAAAATGTGCCCAGATCTTTTCATTCTATTTCTCTCCTTGTGGAGCTCCTGTCCCCTCCAGGTCTTTCTATCTCCCCCTTCTTCCATAAGATTACCTGTACTCTGCCCAAAGGTTGGTTATGAGTATCAGCATCTGTTTTGATACCCTTCTGGACAGTCTTTCAGAGGCCCTCTGTGATAGGCTCCTGTCCAGTTCCCTGTTTTCTCCCTCTTCTGATGTCCATCCCATTTGCCTTTCTGAATGAAGAGTGAGCATCCTACCCACGGTCCTCCTTGATTAGCTTCTTTAGCTGTACAGATTTTAGTATGATTATCCTATATTATATGTCTAATATGCAGTTATAAATGATGAAGTTCACAAAGAAATGCAGCCACTTATAGATGACAGAAATTATTTGTAGAATTTTAAGACTCACTGCTGCTCATTAAAAGGAAAATGGTTCCTTTGTACATCTTATTTTATCCTTTAATTCATTGATTCAAGAATAGACCACTTAAAAATCATAGCTTGGCGTAGAAGTGCATCCCTGTCATCCTAAACCTAGGATTCAGTGGCAGGCTGATCTCTCTGAGACCGAGGCCAGATTGTTCCATAGAGTGTGTTTTCTGTTTCTTTGTTTGTTTGTTTTGGAGACACATTTTTCTTGTGTATCTTTGGCTGTTCTGGACTCAATTTGTAGACCCAGCCATCCTCAAAATCACATAAGTCTGTTTGCCTCTTCTTCCTTGAGTGCTGGGATTACAGGTGTGTGCCACCATGCCCACCTCCAGAGACAGTTCTAAAACTGCCATGGCTATGTAGAAATATGTATCAAAATGATTTCAAAATGCAGACTATATTTCAAGTAATAGATTTTTTTCCTGAGGGGTAGTATACACAGACAGGGATGTTAGAAGTTTTCTGAATTTGTGCTCTCTGTCCTTTGTGTGAGAACTGTAGCATTGAAACATCCCCCTCATAGATCAGACATCATGATTACCACCAGATGGCATTGCCTCCTGAGCAATCTAGTTTCATGGCCTCATTTACCTCATTTTCAGTTAACTTGTGGTCAAAATTAAACATTCCAGAGGCATTCCTGTCCATCATTTGAAAAATTTTACATCTATTTCTGCATGACTTTGAGCCAAGAGTGCTTTTTTTATCTCTGATTTTACATTATGATCACATTCAAAATAAGACTTAATTTAGCATGCCTCTAAGTAGGAAAATATACATTTGAACTTACCCATATGTCCTAAGTTAAATCCCAGTGCTTGCTTTGTTAAAGAAAACCATTGCTTCGGAAAGGACTCATGCTTTTTTTGCCTGTGCCAGGAAAAATATCTTTCTTAGGTCTTCTGTCATGGCTGGTGTAAAACACTAACAGCCCAGGCTCTAAGAGCAACAATCAATAAATGGGACCTCATGAAACTGAAACTCTTCTGTAAAGCAAAGGATACTGTCTACAGATTTGGAAAGGATGTTCACTAACCCTATATCTGACAGAGGGCTAATATCCAGAATATATAGAGAACTCTAGAAGTTAAACAGCAACAAATCAAGTAATACAATTTGAAAAATGGGTACAGAGCTAAACAGAGAATTGTCAATGGAGGAATGGCAGAGAAACACTTAAAGAAATGCTCAATGCCCTTAGTCATCAGGGAAATGCAAATCAAAACAATCGTAAGATTTCACCTTACAGCCATCAGAATAGCTAAGATCTAAAGCTAAAGTAACAATACATGCTGAAGAGGATGTTGAGAAAGAGGAACCCTGCTCCACTCCAGTGGGAATGTAAACTTGTACAATCACTTTGGAAATCAATTTGTTACTTTCTCAGACAATTAGGAATAGTGCTTCCTCAAGATTCAGCTATACCACTTCTAAGCATATATCCAAAAGTTGCTCATGTATACAACAAAGACATTTGTCCAACCATGTTTGTAACAGCTTTATTTGTAATAGAAGTTGGAAACAACCCAGATGCCCCTCAACTGAGGAGTGGATACAAAAATTGTGGTACATCTACATAATGCAATGTTACTCAGCAATAAAATAATAAGGAAATCATGAAAATTGCAGGCAAATGGTGGGAACTGGAAAAGATCATCCTGAGTGAGGTATTCCAGAAGCAGAAAGACACACAGGGTATATACTCACTCATAAGTGGATATTAGATATATAATATAGTATAAACATACTAAAATCTGTACAACTAAAGAAACTTATGAAGGAGGAGGACTCTAGCTAAGATACTGAATCCTCATTCAGAAAGGCAAAGAGGATGGACATCAGAAGAGGGAGAAAATAGGGAACAGGATAGGAGCCTACCACAGAGGGAATCTGAAAGGCTCTACCCTGCAGGATATCAGAGAAGATGCTGAGACTTGTAGCCAAATTTTGGGGCGAGTGCAGAGCACTTCATGAAAGAAGCAGGAAATAATAAGACCTGGAGAGGACACGTGCCCCACAAGGATTGCAACAGAAGCAGAACAATCTTGGCACAGGGGCCTTTTCTGAGACTGATACTCCAACCAAGGACCACTGATGGAGATAAACTAGAACTGTACACAGATGTCGCCCATGGCAGTTCAGTGTCCAAGTGGGTTCCATTGTAATGGGAATAGGGAGTGTCTCTAACATGAACTGATTGGCCTCCTCTTTGAGCACCTCCCCCTGAGGGGGAAGCAACATTAAGAGGCCACAGAGGAAGACAGTGAATTTATTTGTGATGAGCCCTGATAGACAATGATCAGAGGGAGGGAGAGGAGGACCTCCTCTATCAGTGGACTTGGGGAGGCACATGTGTGGAGAAGGGGCAGGGAGGATGGGATTGGGAGAGGAGGAGGGAGGGAGCACAGAGGGATTCAAAGTGAATAAAGTGTTATTAATAAAAATTAAGATTAAAAAATGGGAAAAAAGACACAGAAGCCAGATTTATAAGCTCTCATTGGTCAAATGACAAAACAATTTGAACATCAAAATGATCTGCATATATATGTTCTCCCAAAATTCCTATGTTAAAATCCTGAGACCCAAAGTAACAGAACTGCAGGAGATCTTTGGGAGGTACTCAGGTCTGGGTGGTGAAGCCCTTATAAATAGGTTCATACCCTTATTGAAGAGATCCTATAAAATCATGTGGCCCTTTAGAACATTTGAGTTTAAAGAGAATACTTGACTGTATACAAGCATGCCCCCAAATAGACCTAATAATTTAACTTTAGACTTTCCAGAGTTCACAACTGTGAAAAGTAAAGCCTTTGTTATTAATCATTTGTCATTTAGCCCCAGCAGACTAACAATAACAGTCCAGTCCGCTGCAGAAGGCACATAAATCATGAATCCATATTGATGTAAGCCTATGGCAAATGCATTAACATTCTGATAAAGACCAATACACAGAGTGTCAAGGTACTCATGGGGGTGCAGGGTATTAACTGTGTAGTAGAAAATCCTGGA